CTCCTCCTCCTCCTCCTCCTCCTCCTCTTTTTCTCCCTCCCTCCCTTCCTTCCTGACATGTAGGTAGAGCTGTATATATATCTGTAGAGAAACTGATTTTTTTTAAAGTTTAGTTTTGATTTAAAAAAATTGAAATAAAACTAATACAAAGTTCTGAAATGCAAACGACAAAGCTATTATAAAACATCAATTATATGAGCTCGAAATTAATTTCTCATTCTAGGCAGGAAAGCATTCCATTTCCCAAATTTATCAGACAGATTGGTTTTTGTTGACTTAGAGAAATTGATTTCTGTTGACTTGGAGGCAATCTCCTAGTCCTCGTGGAAAAGAAGAGGTGTACAGCATCTGCTGAAGGCTCCAAAGAACAAGCGTGCTTGTGGGCCAGATTTGAGCTCCCCACTGCCAAGAGTGGGGAGTCCGCACACTTAGCCACTACACCAAACTGGTTTTCTGTGTGTATGTATATGTGTGTGTGTGTGTGTGTGTATAGTAACAGAGAGCCAGTTTGGTGTAGTGGTTAAGTGCGGACTCTAATCTGGGAGAACCGGGTTTGATTCCCCACTCCTCCACTTGCACCTGCTGGTGTGACCTTGGGTCAGTCACAAGCTCGGGCACAGCTGTTCCTGAAAGAGCAGTTTGTGTCAGAGTTCTCTCAGCCCCACCCACCTCACAGGGTGTCTGTTGTGGGGAGGGGAAGGGAAAGGAGTTTGTAAGCCGCCCTGAGACTCCGAGTGAAGGGCGGGGTATAAATCCAATCTCTTCTCTTCTTCTTCTTCTGTAAGTAGTTTTGCTATTTTTTTGTTTTTTACTGCTGGTCTATGACTAGGGTTTCTATTTAGGAATTCTGTTTCACTAGATCAGCTCTGAGCCAGCCGTAGATTCTAGTGGCTGCACAGAATCTAGCAACTCTGTCCATGGCTCCAGGGTCAAGGTCTGCTAGAAGAAGGGAGGTGTACCATTCCTCCAGTCTTCCTGGGGTTTTTATGAAGTCTATGAATGATAAATGATAAGTGCGTATCCGAGAGCAGCCCAGAAGGGCAGTGCAGCTGAACACGCCCAGCCGTTTCCGTTTCCCCGCAGAGTATCCATCTGGTCTGAGACCTGGTAACCGGCCACGCACGGTATTCCAAATGCAGCTATACCACAGTTCTCAGCAAAGATATTACAAAGGCTGGCTGCTTCGTCGCCAGTTCCACCGCTAATCATCCCTAGCATAGCATTTGCCTTTTTCGCTGCTGTTGCACACTGAGGTGGTGTTTTTATCAAGCTTTACCACTCTGGGCTTTTTTCCAGCTCAGCTTCTTAACGCCACGCACGGTATTCCAAATGCAGCTATACCACAGTTCTCAGCAAAGATATTACAAAGGCTGGCTGCTTCGTCGCCAGTTCCACCGCTAATCATCCCTAGCATAGCATTTGCCTTTTTCGCCGCTGTTGCACACTGAGGTGGTGTTTTTGTCAAGCTTTACCACTCTGGGCTTTTTTCCGGCTCAGCTTCTTAACTAGGGTCACCAGTTCTGCGTTGGGAAATACCTGGAAATTTGGGGGTGGAGCCGGGGAAGGGCGGGGCTTATGGAGGGGAGGGATCTCTGCAGGGTATAATGCCATAGAGTCCACCCTCCAAAGCAGCCGTTTTCTCCAGGGGAACTGATCTCAGTCATCCGGAGATCAATTGTAATAGTGGGAGATCTCCGGGTGCCACCTGGAGGCTGGCAACTGTACTTCTTAGCTGCATCAGCTGGGGGGGGGTCCTCCTGCCTTACACACAGTATCATTTGCCAGTTTGTTTTTCCGAGTTTCCCCCCATTTTTTTTTTTTTTGAGACCACTGTAAAAGCAATCTGGGGGAAAGCAGCAAAAGTCTGTGAAGAAACCAGGACAACAATGCAAACGATAAGGAAGAGGAAAAACCCAGTTCAGTCCAGAAGCCGTGCGGGAACAAAAACCAGGGCGGTGAAGCCCTGAGCTTAATTTCTGGTTTGTAATCCCCCCTTTTGCTTTCCTCCCCGAGGTTGTAAAAAGGAGAGTTATGAGGCACCAGCCAGGCCACCCACCAGGAGCCAAATTTGGCATTTGCACTTACACGTTGAGCAGCCAGAGGGTGTCCGAACACAAAACTCCTTGCAAAGACCTGCCTCGGCTCTGCCTCAAGTCGCTAGCACACCGTGTCTCTTCTGTGTCCCCTTGCAGGTATCTTCAACCCAAATTCCGAAGATCCCCTGCTTGGCCTGATGAAGAAGCAGCTTGTCTTAAAAATAATCAGCGGTCAACAGCTCCCAAAGCCCCGCGATTCCATGCTCGGAGACCGAGGAGAGGTATGGAACTGGAGAGAGCAACAGAAAGATCTGGGTCACCAAGATGGCTTTGAACGAGCCACTCTGTGGGTTCCAGGTGACTGTAGCAGTGGCTGTCAGCCATGACAACAACAGGCACATGCAGAAAGGCAACTTGGTGCTTGCTTGATGCTGCCGCCTAGATATTCATTCACCCCATGGCCTTCTGGCAACACCCAGCTTCTCATAACAGCAGGGGGAATAAGGAAGTGACAAGAAAGTGGCGGCAACTTCCTGTCTGTTCGCGCAACTTCCTGTCTGTTCCTGTCTGCTGGAAGAAGCCAGGTAATATCCGCAGGGTGGGCAAATGAGCCACAGTGCTCAGTGACTTGGAAGAAGACTCTGAAGGTGACTGTAGTGTTCAGTTCTGGCAGCAGCTGCTACAGTCACCTGGGAGCCTGGTTCAGACAGTGCTGTATAAAAGGGACTAATTGTGGCTTTATCTACACAGCAAATATGTATACCAGTTTTATACCGGTTTAACAGTCATGGCTGCCTTGAAAGGCTCCTGGGAACTGTAGTCTGGTGAGAATGCAGAGAACTCTCCCAGAACCTCTCCAACTTACCCACCATTGCAGTTCCCAGGCGAGTGGGAATGGCTGTCAAACCAGTTTGTCTGTAATGCGCGTAAGACCGCAGACGCAGGCGAGGTCACACATAGCCCCCCCCCCCATCTGTGTCATTCCGGTGTAGTGTGGAGGATGAGGGCCATCCCAAGTATTTATGCTCAAAAGTAAATCTCATTGAATTCAATGGGGCTTACTTTCTAACACAGGGCTCTCCAACCTTTTTGAGCCTGTGGGCACCTTTTGAATTCTGACACAAGCTGGCCATGGGGGAGGCGGAGCGAGCTGCACACACAAAGGAATCTCAAGTGCAGGGGATAAGAGGAATACCTTTTAAAAAAACACTGGGAAAGAGGAGACAGAGAGAGAGTAAAACCAACACCATAGGGGCAGTCATTGCTGACATGTTATTTTAATCTGCACAGCCATTCAGATCTCAAAGGGGCAATCAGAAGGGCTACTGGGCAGAAGTCCCCCTGACCGCACCCACTTTCTAAAAGCACTTGTTGGGCTCCAGGAAAGGTATTGGTGGGCGCCGTGTTGGGGACCCCTGCTCTAACAAGTATGTTTAGGATAGTCGCCTGCATTGGTAAGTTCCCGGTTCAGAGCTTTTCTCTGCCATGAATTTACCAAGTGGCCTTAGGGAAGACACTGTGTCTGACTCAGTTCTTCCCACCCACCCCACGGCAATGTGGAGATATGCCTGAGCTACCTTGCGAGGTTGTTGTGAGGCTTTCAACAAGGCAATGTACATGAAATGCTTTTGAACACTTAGTGGTATAAGCCCTAGTATGTCTTCTTGAGAAAAAATAAATATAAAACAGTGTCTTATTTTCGGGGAAACACGGTACCTTGCGAGGTTGTTGTGAGGCTTTCAACAAGACAATGTACATGAAATGCTTTTGAACACTTACAAGTGACTTACAAGTGAGCTGCGGTGGCTCAAGGGGTTAAGACGCTGAATTGCAGGCTGTGGAAGGTCAGTAGTTCAGCAGTTCGAGACCCGGGTGCTGCATGACGGAGTGAGCTCCCGTCTCTAGTTCCAGCTTCTGCCAACCTAGCAGTTCGAAAACAAGAAATTGCAAGTAGATAAATAGGTACCACTTCAGTGGGAAGGGAACAGCGTTCCGTGCGCCTTGGTGTTTAATCATGCCGGCCACATGACCACGGAAACGTCTTCGGACAGCGCTGGCTCTTCGGCTTTGAAACGGAGATGCGCACCGCAACCCTAGAGTCAGATTCGACTGGCTTTCGAGCAAGGGAACCTTTACCTTTACCTTTTAAGTGACGTTACTTTTTTAAAAAGCTGGACTGGTTGCCGGATGTTAAAATTCTCTCTCTCTCCCTCCCTCTCCCTCTCTCTCTCCCCCAGAGGAGGAGGAAGGGAGGTCCTCTAGCCTCATTTTGTGGCTATTATGCAACACGTTCCTTTCCCCAGGACTAGCAGGTGCTCTCCCCCTTCTCTTTGTGCGAAGGAGCCGAGCTCGCTTTATTATCCGTTGGGTGCCTTTGGGAAGACGGTTGAGGGAGGCCAAGATGCTCCATCACCGTGACAGGGCCCCTATTCACGGCACCTCCCAGGAACAAAGCGAGGAAGAGAAAGGACACACACATGCACCCCGAAAGGGAGCCAAGTGAAAAACCCAGAACCTTTGCAGTAAAACCACAGAAAAGCCACCGAGGTTGTCAGCCAAGACGGATGAGGCTGCTTTGGCGCCCCGTTTGTGCGGCATCTCCCCCCCCCAACATCCCCCAGCACTGCTTATCGTGCCTTCCTATTTTCCCTCTAAAGTGGTGTAAGGGGGGAGAGGGCAGGGCAGGGAGATGAATCCCCACGCTCTCCCCCAAGCCTCTTGAGCGCCAGCCGAGAGAAAAGCACGGCCGGGGCTGCCTTTTCATAGCGGCTTTTCTCTTGACTCTGTATGTAAAGTCAAGTGCGAGAGTCCCACAGCATCTTATACTTACAGTGAGGGGCCATGGCTCAGCAGTAGAGCATCTGCTTGGCATGTAGAAGGTCCCAGCTTCAATCCCCGCCTTCTCCAGTGAAAAGGATCGGGTCATAGGCGATGTGAAAGACCTCTGCCCGAGACCCCGGAGAACCGCTGCCGGTCTGAGTAGACAACACTGACCTTGATGGACCGAAGGTTACTGATTCAGTATAAGGCAGCTTCATGTGTTCATTGCATGTCAGTTCTGAGTGAAGGAGGCATTCATGGCTCAGTGATGGAGCCCATGGTTTGCCATGTAGAAGAGAAGAAGAGATTGGATTTATACCCCACCCTTCACTACCCAAAGGTGTCTCAGAGCGGCTTACAAACTCCTTTCCCTTCCCCTCCCCACAACAGACACCCTGTGAGGTAGGTGGGGCTGAGAGAGCTCTTGACAGAAACGGCTCTTTTTCAAGAACAGCTCTTATCAGAACTACAGCTTGCCCAAGGTCATCCAGCCAGGTGCAAGTGGAGGAGTGGGGAATCAAACCCGGTTCTCCCCGATTAGAGTCCACGCACTTAACCACGACACCAAACTGGACCCATATTCTTTGTTGGGCATCTCTAGTTAGAGACCCAGTTTGGTGTAGTGGTTAAGTGCATGGACTTTAATCTGGGAGCACTGGGTTTGATTCCCCACTCCTCCACTCGCAGCTGCTGGATGACCATGGGCAAGCCATAGTTCTGTCAGAGCTGTTTTTGAAAGAGGAGTTCTGGAAAGAGCTCTCTCAGCCCCGCCTACCTCACAGGGTGTCTGTTGTGGGGAGGGGAAGGAAAAGGAATTTGTAAGCCACTCTGAGACTCCGAGTGACAGGCGGGGCATAAATCCAATCTCCTCCTCCTCCTCCTCTTCCTCCTCCTCTTCTTCTTCAAGAGATCTAATCTGATTGATTGATTGACTCCCCTCACTTTTCTCCCCCGTGGGGAACCAAGGCAGCTCACAACATTCTCCCCTCCTCATCTTATCCTCACCACCAGTCCTGTGAGGTAGGCTAGGGCTGAGAGGACGTGACTGGCCCCAGGTTCCCCAGCAGGCTTCCAGGGCATAGTGGGGAGACAAACAAAATCTTAGGTATATATTTAATTAATTGCTTATTTCAAATATTTATCAGCCACCTTTTTTTCCTTATGGAGTTCAAGGCGGCTTACAATATTAATAAAATGCATAAAGTAGATGACATTTAAAAAAAATTAAAGTCACAGCGTAGGACTGATGAAATCAAATGCAGTCATGAAGGTGCAACAGTTGTGAGGGTGAAACAGAGGAGGGGAGACCGTTGTAAGCCACTTTGGGTCCCCATTGGTGAGGAAAGCGGGATATAAAGTAAAGAAATAGTGAGCCTGATGGTAGTTTCATCTGTTCAATAAGCTTTATGCTGTTAGATATGTCAGTAACAGCATCAAGCAGAGGTCATTTCGGGGGGGATCGCAGGGGATCGCAGTTCCCCCGGGTGAGGTATGAGGGCGGGGCACATGACGAAGCCCCGCCCCCTGCTTCCAGCCACCCCGCTTCCGGCCCTCATTCAGCCAGGAGGAGGCAGGAGAAGAGGGAGGGTAAGTTGCTTCCTCCCCGCCTCTCCCCACCCCTGCCTGCCTGGGGCCAGGGAGGGCCTTC